TGAAGTACTTCTTTAACATTTCTTGTAGCAGAGGTTTGCTTATAACAAATTCAGCTTTTGTTTCTCTGAAAGTTTTCTTTATTATGCCATAACTTTTGAAAGGTGTTTTCACTGAATATGTGGTTGTAAATTGGCAGGTTTCTCCTCTTTAAGCACTTTAAAGTGATGCCATTGTCTTATAGTTTACATTATTTCTAATGAAAACTCAGTGCCATTTCTTATCTTTGACTCTTACATAAATGTGCAGAGTTTTTCTATGGTTATCTTAACATTTTCTCTCTATCAATAGTTCTTTATCAGTTTGATTTTGATGTAATTTGGTTTTATGATTATCCTGATTAGTTTCCATTGAGCTTATGAGATATATAGATTCATATTTTTAACTGTTTGGCTATTTTTTAGTCATCATTTATTCTTGTTTTGTTTTTTTTGTCTTTTTGAGACAAAAACAGTTCCGTTCAGGCTGGCCGTGAGCTCACTTTTTAGTCCAGGCTGCTCTTGAACTTGCAAGGGTCCTCCTGCCTCAGCCTCCCAAGTGCTGGGGTTACAGGCATGAGCCACCACCATGCCTGGCTCGTTATTTATTCTTTTGTGATTCCAGTTACATGTATATTAGACTACTATATATTGTGCCACAGCTCACTGGGACTCTTTTTAAGCTTAAAAAAAACCCAGTTCTTGCTTCAGTTTGTATGCTTTCCATTGCCTTGTTTCAGACTCATTATTCTTTTCTTCTGAGTGTCTAATCTGCTGTTAAGCACACCATTAAATTTTTTTAACTTTCGCTCTGAAATTCCATTTGGTTCTTTTGAATTTCATTTATTTCTTCCGCATGGTCATTTTTCCTTTAGATCTTTGCACATTTTATAATAGCTCTGTTAAAGTTCCTATCTGTTAATTCACTCATTTCTGAGTATTTATATTGATTGAGTTTTGATCTAGAGGATCACTAATTGACAGGTGAATCTACTCAAACTTAGAAACTTACTTTTTAACTGATAGGGCAGATCTAAAATAGTCCAGTCCACTAGAAGTTTCTAGAGTGATAGAAAGTGCTGTTTCTGTGTCTTACAAGTGCTGTTTCTGTGCCCTTAGTCATGTTTGGCTATTAAATACTTCAAATTTGGCTAATGCAATACAGGAACTGCATGTTTCAATTTCATTTTAAATAAGTTAAATAATATCTAGCTTGTGACTGCAATATGGGAACAACGTAGGCCTACAGTGACCTCTCTTACCCAGTTTAACCCTTCTCTTGCAGAATGACCTGAGGTCTGTATAGTGAATGTCTCTGATATTCAGTGAGGTCTCCAGCTGATTAGAATTTGAATGTCTCAGCCCAATGCAAACTCCAGAGCTGTTCAGCTTATAGCTCGCCAGGATTCTTTAGCCAGTTGTCCCTCTTGGTCTTGTGAAATCTTACCCAACACACATACAGCTTGATGTTTAGCTAGAATACTCAAGCAGAGTGTATACAGATTTCTAGAACTCTTTCTGGGTACATTCTGGCATTTCCACCCAACATATTCCATGTTTCTCAACCTGTCTAAACAACCATCTCTATCACTGAGACCCCACCCTCCGCTTGGTTTCCCCTGCGCTGTGCAGCAGCCCATGATGTATCTCACACACAGAGCTGGGGTGGCCTAGCGCCTATCCTATTTATTTCCTTTCCTCTCAGAGGTCACATTCCTGCCCCATCTATTGAAAAGTTTAATATGTTTTGCCCCATTTTCTAGCTATTTTATGAAAAAAGTACTAGTTTGGTACTGGTTATTCCATCCTGGCGTGAAACCAGTAGGTTATATTTTACAGACACATCTACCCATTTCAAAGCAGGATGAGTTTGGTACGCTTATCTTAATGGAATGGAATAATGCATTGCTACTTTGAAATATACCTATAGCTTCTTCTTTTGTACTTATACTTACAGAAGACCATCAAGAAGACATATGTTACTTCCAATTTACACTTCTGTAAACTGAGACACAAAGAGGTTAAGTAATATTCCCTGGGTCACACAGCTTGTGAATGGCAAAACTGGGATTTATAAGTTATTCACCTGGCTTCACTCTCCATGTTCTTAACAACATTGAGAAGGTTTCAGAGGATCTAACAATCTTAAGGGAATACATATGAGTAATTGAAGTGTTTATATTTTCGCAGTCACAAATTTTAAAAGATTCATATTTTAAGCCAGTGGTAATGTTTAGCTTACATTAGAAGATTAAAAAATCTGTAATATGTATTAATCTTCCAACCTAGGGAACAAAAAGAAGACACTTCATTTGGTACCACAGTTTTATAAAAGCATAATCATCTTGGACTACATAATCAACAATCTTAAGAAATGTAATACTACTAATGAATTAACTTTATTTCCCTTTTCATATAAAGAAACTAAGACTGAAAACATGAAGTGGCTTCTTTGATGACACACACCTAGAAAAAAGATGGATTTGATATTGTAACACTGCCTAAGAATTATCCATCGGGATGATGATTACAATGTTAGGTTTTACATAAAGAAGTGAAATATTAGAAATGGTAGGGGTAGTTGTTAATAAATCATGGTACAAGTGATAAAATAACATAGAACCATCTTTTTAAAGCTAAAGAAAAATAGTATGTAAGATAGTAAGTGTGTGTTTTCAGTATATAAACTGTGAAGAAACACTATCCTTTTGGTTTGTCCCTACACAAACACTGGAACATATTGTTAATTGATGGTCATATCAAGACAAAAAAATCATTGCTTTTAGTAATTTCCACACTAAAATACTTTAGGACATAGTTTGTCTTTAAGTCTGCAATTCTTACTTTAATTTCAAGTGTTTACAAAACTAGATGTGTGTTGTGTATAATTTCCCTGTTGTTAGCAGGGGTCTGGCTGGTAACAATTAGTTAAAAATATAAATAAAATGATTCTTCTAGGAAAAATTACAGTCTCTATGTTGCTCAACTCAGCAATTTTTAATCCATCATTATGTCAAAATAATTAACTTATTCAGACTGGCTTTTAATTTGCCTAAATAGTTGTTATAAGGGAATGACTTGAAAGAGTAATGTTGAGTAAAAATTATGTGAAGGCAAAAGAACATATCACTGCTTTTTTTTTCCTTTCTTTTTTTTTGTAGTAAACGCAGGGCCTTGCGTGTAACAAGCAGTGCTCCATCACTAAGCTATATACCCCAGTTCTCTATTTCCTGTCACTCCTAAGGCATAAATGTATACTAACTGTATGACCACAAGAGCAGAGGCAAAGTAAATTAGGCAAGCATTGGTACAACTTTGGGTCATGTGACTGATACTAGTTTAAAAAGCAAGCAAGCTCTTTATCAACTTGAGAGTAGCTTTTTGCTACTTCAGACCAGGTAATAGGACAAATTTAACCCGGTGCTGAACCTTAACATTCTTCTCCAAAGATTATGTTCTCATAAAGACCCAGAAACTTGAAGACCATAGAAATACAAAAAACTGGTTTTGTTTACTTCCATTATTTCCATTATTATAATGAAGGATTTCCTTTGTATAAAATAGCTTCCTGTAAGAATTCTATAGAGTGTATGGGAAAGGCAAAGTCTGATTTCTCTACTTTCACCCTCACCTGTAGCTGCTGCCCCAGACATATAACTTCTGAGGTTATTAAGTAAATTACCCAGGGAGAGTTGCTCTGTGTTGTAAAAATTCCAAGAAAAGACATATTTAGGGGGAAATTTCAGTAGATAGGCCACACTTCACATTTAAAACTCAATGTCTGTAACACTATAACCAAAAGAACTTTTCTCCTTTTAACTTCAAATCATTATTTTATGTTATCTTAAATATCAGTACTTACCTTCCTAAGAGACTACACTGTTTGAAATCCACTTTAGAAACAAAAGTTGCATCACCCATTTAGATAGCGAGGTGTTGCCATTTAAGGATCATTTTTTTGACAGCTGAAGCTTAAAAATTATGTGACAAATTGCTTTTCTCAACATTTTAGGATATTAGTTACATTAACATGTTAATTTTCTCAGTCTTTAAGAAAAATCAGGAAATATAGATAAGCAAAAACACACTAAAATGTTTCATTCATTTAAAAATAATCATTAATACAGAACCATTAATAAAGAACATAATTACTATATTTTGATTTTAAGATGCATATCTTTTCAAACATTACTAAAATCAAGAATATGCATGAAGTTTACAGCTTTTTTTAGTGATCTATATGATGATTCTTAAATGTGATCATCTTATATTCATTGAAATCAGTAATAAAAGATTTATTATAATTTTTGGTTTAGCTCTTTCTAGACAGAATAGCTAATCTGAGGAATAGAAGTTGCTTTTAATGAGTTGAGGAAGCATTTCCAACAGCAGTTTCTCTCTGGAACTAGTGTGTAGGGTGTGCTGAACTCGCACTGGAGAGAATAGCCTGATAGTCAGGCTTTAGTTCCTATGAGAACTAAAGAGGGGTGGCAGGCATACCTTTCTAAAATGATTCCAATGTCTCTTTCTTTGCAGTAGAAAAGCAGTCTCGGATGATGGCTTTTAAGGCAGAAAATAGCTGTTAAGCTTAAAAAATCTTTGATGGAGTGACTTAGGCTCTTGTGCTCATGTTAAATAGTTTGTTTTACTTTTTAGGTGGCAAATATTTCTATTCTGTGGTCCTTCAGGCTTTTCTATTTTGTAACATAAAATAGGCATTTTTACAGTAATATAACTTTTTCAAACTTACATACATGTCTATACATTTAAATGCAAAACAAGTAACAAGTATATACTGTGTGTGTGCATGTGCGCATGCGTATTTTGAAATAGGATCTCCTTAAGCAGTTCAGGCTGTCCTTGAACTCATGGTCCTCCTCCTGTCTCAGCCTCCTGAGTGCTGGGATTACATGTGTGCACCACCACGCCCGGCCCTGCCATTTTATTTTTATTGGCTTATTTTCAAAACTTTTAGATTTTTCAATTAGAAATTTAATAATTTTTCCATGTATATCTATTTGCAGGAAATACTAAAGAATGAAGAGTACAGACAACAAATGAAGATAAAAAGCAAAGATTTTTATGAAAAAGAAAAGCTCCTTAGTCAAGAGACCAATGAGGAACTCTTGCCTCCACCAGTTCAGACTCAAATTAAAGGGCACGCCTCTGCTCCATACTTTGGAAAAGAAGAACCCTCCGCAACACCTACCAGCACTGGGAAGACCTTCCAGCCAGGGTCCTGGGTGCCACAAGATGGCAAGAGCCACAATCAGTGAATTGCATTATGGTAAAAACCATTTCATTTGTATAGATAAGACTTTTAACAAATAAAAAGGTGTTTAAAAATGAATTATAGTTATCAAACTTGTAATAGCCCTGTATTGCGTTAAGCTTTAGAGCTCATTTTACTTTGCATAAGAAACATAAGGTTATGAACTACAAAATTCTATATGCATCAGGGCTGGGGATTTAGCTCAGTGGCATAAGCACCTGCCTGGCAAACGCTAGTCTGTGAGTTCAACCTCTGGTACCAAAAAAAAAAAAAAAAAAAAAAAATTATATATGTGTTGACTTAAATTCTACACTTGATTCAGTAGTCACCACTCTGCATATGAATTTGTCTAAAATTGATTTTCCCTCCTTAGTTTACTACTCTGAGAAATGTCATCTAGTTGTGAATGCTTAGTACATGTAGGATAATTAGGATCCTTTAGGAACCACCCATAGATCGAATAAGGGCAATGAGCTTTCCCAAATGGCATATATAAAATAAATAAACAAATAAGACTTTTATTTCCGGAGAACTAGCCATAAAATCCCAGAGAACCAACCAACATATAAATTTGGGCCAGACATGGTGGCATACGCCGATAATCCCAGCACCTAAGAGGCTGAGGCAGATGCAAATTCAAGGCCAGCCTGAACTCCATACCAAGACTGTTTAAAAAAAAAAAAAAGCTTCGATAAGACATGCAAAAAAACTTCACTAATAAAAGTAACTATAAACACTTTGAGGATAATATAGGACAATGTCTAATCGGGTAAAACTATGACTGAAGTTTGAAGAGAGAAATTAAGATTTAGGAGACAATCCGTCTGAAAATCTTAAAGGATGGTAAAGAGAAAAGGAGTAACTGGAGAGTTCCATCAGAATGGAAGTTACTTTGAAGTAGAAAACAATTCTCAAAGAAGAATACAATTCCACCAATAGGCAAGACGCAGGGGTTTGAATACTGTTATAGTCAGAGGTTGTACACAGAGAACAACTAGAATTAGGACATGGAGTTTATTTATTTAAATTTTTTTTTTTTTTGGTCTTTTTCCTTTTACCGGTGCCAGGGACGAATTCACAACTGCCTGCTTGCAAAGCAGGCGCTTATGTCGCTGAGCTAAATCCCCAGCCCCTGTTTATAATATTTTTATAATGGTCAGTGGGAGTTAACACAGGAAAGTGCAAGAAATCTATCCGCAACACCAAAGACATAGATTATTTAGTCAAGAGCCTAAACCCCACAGCAGTGTCCCACATGAGTCCAGATAAAAACCCAGAGCTCAGGAAAATGCTTCCACGAGTCCAACTGGAAATCCAGAGCCCACAAGAAGGACTCACGGATCTTTTACGGATCCGTGCCGGGAAGACCCAAGGGTCAGCGGCGGAAGCCAGAAAGTCTATGCCAGCAGGATAAAGGAGCTGTGCTAGTGGGATGAGGGTTCTATGCTGGAGCCGAGAAGTCACACTCACAACAAAGACCAGGGCTATCCTGAAAGGCACCACAGCTGTCCTCAGCGACACGGAGGGCCCGAGCTCCTCCAATGACAAGCACAGTCAGGTACTTGCCAGGAAGCAGCGTGACAAGTTCATCTTGGAGACCAACAGCACATGTCTTCCCCTCCGGAGCCAGGAAGCAATGCTCGATGTGAGGACCAAAGGTTCTCCAGAAGAACCAACAGCTCAACAGCAACTTGTAGGAGACCCCACAATGCCTCCTTAATGCCTCAACCCTCAACATCTCCCTTCTTCTCCACCTATTTATCCTGGCAACTTTGCTCAGGTGGAGCATCTTCACTCAATGCCATGCTGATATAATCCAGCTGGTGTTAAGTTGACCACCAGTTCTTAATCCATAACAAATACTGAAGAAAACTTCGGACAGATGTCATTGGTTACATACAAAAGTTCTTGTAAAGTGTCTTAATTTTCTGGAAAACACAAGTAAGCTTTTGATGTTACTTTAATATAAAATGTTTGGCATATAATGGTGGTTGACACACAATAGGCATTCAGTATTCCCTAAGTGAGTAAATATTTACCAAATTTTTATGCTCCAATTAAAATGAAATCCTTGCATAAGTATTAACAATGGGTTCTTAAAACATTTGGGTTATAAAAAAAAACATTTGGGTTAGAATTTTTACTTAATATCAGGTAAAAATTATAATTGCATAAGAAATAACTACAGAAAAATAATTGTTTTATATAGCACTTATACTAAAACTAGTAATTGAATGATAAAGTCACAATGATATACTTACTGAATAACAAAAAGGCCCCTAAGTGATAATTCAAGTATTCCAGCAGCCCTGTTAATATCAGGTTAAAAATCTTGTATTGCTACCTCGTTTCAAGGTAATACTGCATTTTACCATAGGGGCAAAAAAGGAACTAGTCACTAAGTAATATAAAAGGAGGTATAATTTGTAGTATAATTGAATTGTGAATTGAGAGTAAGATGTTCTGAAATCCTGAACTGCAAGGAAAATTTGTGAATGTTTTAATACATTGGTGTTTCTACTGCCAAATTCCTATTAGCCTATTAATTACATTCTCACATCTTTCACAAATGTTTGCTATGTAGTTTGCTTTTAAGCATTAGCATAAGGCAAAATTTAATTTTAATTTTTAGTTTTCATTTTAAAATACCTGTTTTATATAAGCAGCAAAAGAAATTCAGCTCACAGTCTTTGTGAGAAATGCTAACAGTAGAATGATGTTATCGGCTCACCATTCAGTAGAGCATGTACTATTTTGAGAGGTGGGAATGAGGTTTGTAATAATCCATCTACTCTTTCCTCCAGACCAGTGCACGTAGTATGACTGATGATGCTGTGACATGGTATTGGAACAGACTTAAATGTCCTGCATAAAAAATTAACTAAAATCTTGGTCTAATTAAGATTTGCCTTTCTAAACAACTTTGTAAAACAGCTTTGAGGTCAGGTACATGCTAAGTAGAATTAAAATATTAAATGTTAGCTTTTCCAACATATGTACTTCATCTGAAAAATAGCTGTCTGCACATTCAAGTTTTCTTATTATGAAGTTAGTTGCCTTTTCAAGACAGATTTCAAACATGTTTAAATTTTTTAGTCTAAAAGTAAAAATATTCATGTTAACTTAATTAAAGAATATCAATGGCTAAGAATGTAGCCCAGTGATAAGCACTGCCCAGCCTACGCAAAAAGCCCCGGCTTCAATCCCCAGCATACAAAGAAAAAGGAGGGGGAAGGAAGAGGGAAGAAAATAAAAACATGCATGTCAAATACTTTCTAGAGCTAAATCCATCTTGGAGTTCTCTGACCGTCATTTATGCATAAAGCATAGTTTTGATTTTTACAATAGCTTGACCACTACACAAACTCTAATGTAATGTAATGTAAAAAATGTTGCTGGCTCCTGGGTTTAATTTAGCCGACTAGCTAGGCTGCAGACATCTGAAGTTAAAAACCAACAAAAATGGAATCATTCTTTCATTCCAACTTTTACTAAAAGATTGTCATTTATGTCTTGATGTAATTAACCCTGAATCAATACAACTACATTAATTTTTTAAAAGTACTATCTCAGTAACTAATATGAATTTATTTAGACCAGGCTTTTTCAAACTGTTTATGTTCTTTGTGTGTGTGGGGGGGGGGGGAGGGACAAAGGAGTCTATGGTAGTCAATTAGTTAAGACTGAGAAATCATGCAGGAAAGAAACATATCCTAGTTCTACTTGTATTTCCAAAAATTTTGGTATCTGAGCATGGAATCTTTTATGTTTGAAGAATGTAGAACTTGTCCTTAAATATTTATTTCACATATAAAGTTGGAGCAATCCTATAATTCAATGCAAACATAAAAGCAACCATTCCTAAATAGGACCAATTTCCTGAGTTAGAACTAGTTAAGATGTAAAGAGCCCCTTGCCACTTTCCTTTACTTCATGTGTAAGGAAGGAAGAGTCGAGGCACTTATTTCAACACTGCGTTTCCAGCTCATAGCTTCCTATTTCCAGTTAGCTTGTGATTGTAAAGAAACTTAAGTTAAAAAAATGCCTTTATAGCATGCCCAGTAGTGTTAATACCATGATGAAGTTTAATACATGGACACTACGGGTCAAAATGTGACACATGTATCTCTCTTCTGGAAATTGTTACAGGGAGCTTAGGATAGCTGTTTCTTTTCTGAATCCAAAATCAGTCATAAAAATGTAACTAGTTTTCAAAATTTAAGATATAACATACATAAGTAGGTAGGCAATTTTTTGATAAAGTATTCTGGATAATAAAAGGGTCTCTTTCAGCAATAGTATTATACAGGGTTACAGTGAGAGATGATGGATTTTTGAAGAATTCCAAACCTCACAGCATTCTATACTTTATATACTCCCACACATACACACAACATAAACATTAGAAAACTTGTGTTATCTCACATGAATAAGCTCAAAAAATGTTGAGAAAAGCTGGATAATAGCTTATGTCAAGCAAATACAAAATTGGCATGTTATGATTGTTACCACAAATACCCTTTTATCATAACCAATTTTTATTGGTTCTGCTTTAGTAACTAAATTATAACTTGTGATTCAATTTATCCTAAAATATAAGCAAACATGTAAATTTTTCCATGAATAGCTTAATCATAACACCCACACGTATTTTACATCGTAATCTGGGTTTTTTTGTTTTTGTGGTACCAGGGATCGAACTCACAACGGCACACTAACCAGACAAGTACTTGAGCCACAGCTACATTCCTGGCCAATAATCCTATTTTTCTTAAAATGGGACCTACAGACCTATGGGGGCTGGTAATTCTACATAAGCAAGTTTTACTTTATAGTTGAATAGTACTCCATGAATATAAAACTACATCTTTTTTATCCATTCCTCAGTTGATGGGCATTTGGGTTGTTTCCAAGATTTGGCTATTACAAATTGTGCTGCTGTAAACATAAGTGCACATATATCACTGTGGTATGTTTTTAATTCTTCTGGGAAAATGCCCAGAAGTGGAACAGCTGGGTAAACTCAACCTCTAAACCTATCTTTTTGAGGATCCTCCACACTGATTTCCACAGTGGTTGCACCAGTCTACACTACCACCAACAGTGGAGAAGAGTTCCTCCCCCCACCCTCAACCTCTCCAGCATTTGTTATTGGCTGATTTCTTGATCTTGGTCATTCTTTCGGAAGTGAGATGGAATCTGTGTTGTTTTAATTTGCATTTTTCTAAATAATCAATAATGCTGAACATTTTTTCACATATTTATTTGCCATTTGTATTTCTTTATCTAAGAAGTATTCATCTTAGATGCCCATTTTTGGATTGGGTCTTTGAATTTTGGGGGTCTGATTTTTTTAATTCTTTATATGTTCTAGATAGGAGTCCTCTGTCTGAGGAACAGTTGGCTATTTCCCAATTCATGGGTTTTCTTTTCACTCTGCTGGAGATTTCTTCTGACATGCAAAAACTTGGCAAGTTTTAATTTAAACAATAATACAAAAGCATATTCTACATCACCTGAATAACCAACTCGCAACTAAAAGTTCAATTATTTGAGTCTAGAGTTGCAATGTTAACCACACTGGCATCAGGTAGGAACTCAAAACCTAAAAATAGCAGAAAGTATTGTTCAAACTGATCTGTAAACATTCCCAGGAGTCCTTAAGTTCACAAGTTTAAGAAACACTTTCCCAGACTTCTAGAATCAAGTTTAGCTATAACTGAAATTCATCTTTTTTCATAACCTTTTGAAAAGTCTAATTTACACAACGTATCTATTTTCCCCTCAAAAAGACAAAAACTCAGACCTCTTCTAAAAAGTATCAAATTTATTTGTTTCATTCTTAGAGCTGTTGGATAATCACTGTAACTTAAAATTCATCATGAGAGGTGCAGAAAACAAACTATTAAATGCTATAGTAAATAAAATTACTAGATCATGCATTTAGAAAAGCTATGTTTAATAGTCAAAAGTTCTAGTTATACTATTTAGTCAAAAGATTTTATAGTTTGGACCTAACTAGAGCACATCCTTATTTTGAAATAATTTACCCTACAATTACTATTATCTCCAACCAAATGTTCCTAATTTTAAGCCTTTACCATTTATGAAGTATGACTTAAGTGTTAGCTCTTTAAAAGCTCCTTAAAAAAATAGTTAATCTTCATCTGAACCTATTTGACCAATAATACATCATTATAAGTAAAACAAAGAATGGAATAAAAAGTGTTACCTATATAATGAGCAAATTATCTGATAAAACATTTTAACTATTTCACAGTTTTAGCACAAGAAAAAACTGCTTCCAAGGTATTACAGTATTTGGCATTTTTACTGCAAGGTTTAAATCATAGCATTACTCAACAACTCATCTCTAAGAAAGTGGCAGTGTTTGTAAGTACAAAAATTATTACATCCAGTAGGTGATACTGTACATAATCAAAATAAGACAGTTTTTTTAAAAAATTAGGTTTTAAAAAATGCAGAATGTCTTAATAATTACCAGTTTTCTCAAAGGCTAAAATCAGAAAAATACAGAATAGATGTATTTGTTGATTAGTATTACTTTGCTTTGGAAAAGCCAGAAGTAATTCAAAAAAATAAGCAATGATTTTAAAAAATGTGATTAATATACTGTCTCTTTTAAGCCTAAGCAAACTTTCACTTCAAAAACAAGTTTGACTTTAACATTTTAAAAAGTACAGGATTGTTTTAAACCACTATTTGAATAGAGTTCATAATGTAAAGCCATTAGTTTCCACAGGATATTTATATTGCAGAACATAGGTAAAAAAATGGCAAATGATTAAATCAACAATAAAAAATTTATACAAGTTGAATATTCCTTTTCTGAAATGCCTGGAACTAGAAATGTTTTAGTTGTTTTCAGATTTTGGAATATTTGCATATACACGGTGCAACATCTTGAAGAAATTCATGTTCCTATAATCTGGAAGAAAGTGTATTATGTTACATTTGTATTTTGACTGAGACCCATCAGAGGTTAGCTATGGAATTTTCCACTTGTGGCATCACATCTGTGCATACAAGTTTTGGATTTTAGAGTATCCTGGGATAGGCATCAGTGATATGTTCAAACAGTATAATCATTACAAATCTGTAATAATTACAATGGTCACCAACAAACATCTATGCCCAAGCCTAAAAGTCACTACAGTATTCAGGTCAGATTCCAGAATAATTCTTCTATATGGATAGTAATAACTTCCATGAAATCCAAAGAAACCTTATAGGGTCTTTCCAAAGCTGCAAAATTTCCCAAATGACCTTTTTTCTGCTGGCAGGGCCTGTTCATCTGTTCAGTCTTTTTTCAGTCGTTTAGCTTTTGCAATATTTTCTTGACGTTTTTGTTTCTTCTTTTGCTCCTTCTCCCGGGCTTCAATCATCTTGGCCAATTTCCAGGACAAGATGGCGCTTGCTAGGAACAGTGGAGTCAGGGCCAAAATGACTGTTGTGAGGAAACCATATGGGTCCTTTGCAGCCCATTCCACAACATATTCAGCCCAAGCCTTTACATCAAACATCTCTGTAGCAGTCTTACGAAAACTGGGTTGGGAAAGGGAAAAAAAAAAAAAATTATATGGATAATCAAATTATGAAAAAGTTTTGTCATATACCAGTTAACTCAGGATTACATTATCACTCAGTGGCTTTTAATTAATTAGTACTATTTTAATAAAGGCTAGTATCTCCATTAAGGAAAAAAATAATTCAACTAAGACAACAGAATAGTGACTTAAAAGATGTTAATTTACAGAAGATAAAAGTAAAATCCATTTAGATTCTATCATAAGGATTATGCAGGTTTTCTACAGACAAGACCTCAAAGAACCTTGGGTTTCACACAATCCTGTTGTGTCATTTGTTGCTTTATCCTATTACTGAATACTAATTAACAAAAGTAAAAGATTCAAGTTTCAAAAAGATAAGCTACAGATCATGAGAAATGCTCTCAGAGAAGTGGGAGAGAATACTAATTAACAAAAGTAAAAATCAGATTTCAAGTTTCAAAAGGATAAGCTACAGATCATGAGAAATGCTCTCAGAGAAGCGGGAGAAGATACGTGGCCTATTTCCAGTAATGAAAGTGTGGGGAAGTGACCTATGAGGATGTCTGTCTTTACACACCAGAGGTATAAATAAAAAGTAATGTTACTGTATGCCCTTTAAGTTTTGAGGACCATATTGAAATGTAATTTTAATAAACAAAAAGAATCAGCCATTACAAGTACCATGAATTTTGCTCTTTGAGCTACAAGAAGGCCATCTTGAAAATAAGAATCTTGTAGACTTCAGTGACATTTCCTTTTGGCCAAAAGGCTTCCTTACCTTTCATGTTTGTGCCAACCTCCATTCAAAAGATTAAGAATTCTTGGGTAAGGAGTGCATGTCGATACAACCCCTTAAAATTTCAGCTGGGGTTTAAAAACAAACAAACAAACATCTACCTTATGCTTGACCAGCAATCTCTTTGTCCTGGGAGCCAGTCAACTTCAGATGACCCCTGGTTGTCAGTCGTCCTCTTTGGTTTTAATGGACTCTCTTGAGAAGATTAAATTCTATGTAGTGAATGAGTGGAAAAGGATAAAAAGATAATTCACAACTTTGAGGATAACAAATTCTAAATAGGAAATTTCTAAATTCTGTATGTGGAATCTATAAATGACATGGAAAATTGCCTGTCAATTATAAGCTTCTAATTCCTATTTCCTTCTAATTTGAGTTTACTCCAGTTGCAAGTGCCCTGTAAGAAAATATTAATTATTGAAAGGTATTTTACTAAATTACCTATTTCAATAATAAATTTTTGAGATTCACTGACATAAAAAAGACGTGGTGACTCAACCCATAAATTCCTAGAGCATGTAATTTTCTATACTAAAAAAAGCTGGCATTCATTCATGTATTTATTGGATTAGGTACGTCTTTGTAAAATCAAATACTTTATGAAGGTTTGTCCATTTAAAAATTCCTATCCTTGTTAGGAAAATCAGAAGGGATAACCAAAACAAATCATAAATTATCTACAATCTCATCACCGCAAGAAAACTATCACTGGTTTTTAACTCCATTTTTTCAGGTCCTTCACATTTTAAAAAAAAAAGCTCAGCTTTCAACTGAAGGCAGACACATCTAAATGTCTAAGACGCTAAACAACTTAGGCTGGGACTGCAGAACGCTTCCGTGTTCTGGAACCTGGTAACGCTGAGATTGATCCCTCTTCTCCTGCTCAGTATGAACTAATGCAATTTTTAGAAACAAGCAAAACAACTGTACAAAAAAAAAAAAAAAAAGCGGGAGCGAAGGACCTGGTTTATTCCAAAGTTTCAACCACTGCTACAAAGAATTACAGTCTACACTCCCCACGTCCGTTTTGAACCCAGACTCCCTTGCCTCCCATACTTTAGCGAATAAATACTGCTCTTTCGCCCCAAAATGTCGCCAGCCCTCCGAGAAGGCTAAAGCAGCCGGAGATAGCACTGGACGGGCAACTGCTTGGTCCTTGATCTTCCCTACTTTCTACATTCCCATCCCACCCCACGCCACATCCCTTGCCCAAACAGAGCAACCAGCGCAGAAGCCACATTCGCCCTTGCTCCTCGGGCCCGCAAGCTCAGCCCTGGCCGCCACGAGCGGGGCAGAACTCCCAGAGTAGTGACGGCCCACCACAGCTGCGCCTCACGCCCGGCAGCCCCCCGACATCGCGCCCACGGGCTCCCACTCCCAGTCCTAACTCACCGCCACGCCGGAAGCAGGAAGCCGGAAGTCGCAGTCCTCTCGCCCCGCCTACAAGCCGGCCAGCTGCGACCCCGGCGTGAGGAAGTCGCGGGGCCAGTTTCCGGCTGCGCTGCTGCCGGGTGGGTCCCGGCACCTCGGCCCCGGGGGAACAGGGCAGTGGGGCGGGCGGCGCAGAGGCTTCCGGGGAGCGGCAGGTGACCGCGCGGAGCGGGCGGCTGCGCGGGCTCTGGGCTGGAGTCCGCGGCCCGCGCCTCCTTTGCGGACTGAGGGGTGGCGAGGGGGCTGGGGCGGCTGAAGCTGCTCGGAGCTCCGTCCTCGCCCGGAGTGAGGGGAGCTGCACCCCCTGCCCCGCTGGCTGAAGCCGGGCGTCGGCGGAGGTCTGGCGGGCTTTGGGCAGGGTAATGGCCCCACAGTGTTCCACCCGAAGTGAGGGTGAGGGTGGCAGAAGGACTCCTGAGCATTCTGGCAAGCTCACCCTGGTTCCCACCCCACCTCATTTGTCTCCGGTAATTGGATCATAGTTAAATCCTGCGTGGAAGGGCGAGACAACGGCTGAACCGGATGGATCCACTGAACCTAGTTACTAAGGGAAAATTATGCCGTTCTGTGGGGAAGGTTTTTTTTGTTGTTTATTTTTAATTTAAGAACCTAATTCATTTCACAAAAGAATGATCGATACTTGTCCAAAGTAAACTTGATAAATAATTAAACTGGCAGGCAATGGAGTTCCCACAGAGGTACTTGTTCTTTCAGTACACAAAGGGACGCAAAAGTCAACAAACAGGGTGAGTGAATAGTGTTTTATAGTCTGTAAGAACTGAAAGATTAGTTCTAGTTTGGTTGGTGCTCAAATTTTGTGATTGCTTACACTGAACTGCTTGCTCTGTTTGACAGCCTCTGACACATGTTGCAAAACTTCTTCACTGTTGTGTGCCAAATAAAGCTGGTTTTTAATTCTGAAAGACTGTAGAGTGTTCTCTTTGTGGAGCAAGCTGCAACATGTATGGCTAGGTATAACAACTGTAACTATTATTTACAAAGGAACAGTCTTTGGCAGGTATCAAACTATCATTGGACATATGTTAATGTTTGTTGTATTACCAACAGTTGTTTTCTTACCCATTCTTGTTTGAAGATCCAGGTGATGGTTTAGCCCTACCCAGTATCCATAATAGCCGGAAAGGCAGAACCAGTCACTAGACCGCGTCGCTGAAAATTTTACTTGGTAGAGTAAACTGATTTCTTAAAACTTGCCCAAACTAGAGCCTGGGATTTTGCTCAGCGGGATAAGCGCCTGCCTTACAAGTGTGTGGTCGTGAGTTTGATCCCTGGTACCTAAAATAAAATAAAAATGAAGGAAATTAAAAAAAAAAAAAAAACCTGCCCAAACTGACTCCAGGATTGGGTCAGAATCTTATTATTTTTATGTCCTTCCCTTCAGAGGCCAGTGTGTAGACTTTTTCTTTGACTCTTGAATAGACTTGCTCCCTCCTAATAGGTAGTTTCTCTGCAGTATCTCTGATTAAAGGCATAAAGGAAGAATACTTACCTAGCTCATTGGCTAGAATCTAATAGACCATGTCTTAATGGTCTAATTCTACTGATCTTTTCAGGGTAGGTGGCAAGCTCAGGAGTAGTTTACCAGTTGTCATGGCCTAGCTCCCTATTGCAGTTTAGACTGCCTTAACGGTGTTAAGATCGGTTGTGGAACTGCGGACCCCATTCTACACTGAGGAGCCTGAGCTTGTGAGTCTCAATACTAATCACTGTATACAGCACTGATAATATTAGGAGCCTGTTCCCTCTTCTCTATGTAAAAAGGAGGCTAGGTGACATCTCTGTTGTCCTTTCATCATTAAAAATCTGTAAAGTAGACTAATTGAACCGTTTTTCTGACTGAAACTTCATAAGCAGCAGTATAGTAAGGTTCGTTTAGTAGGAACATCATTGGCAGATTTCTTAAAGTCTTAGTTATTCGAGGATTGGGGATTTAACTCAGCGGTGTAAGCGCCTGCCTGGCAGGCCTGAGATTGTGAGTTTGATCCCTGATACTAAAAAAAAAAAAAAAGTTACTTATTCAAAAAGATCCTTAACCTAGTTTTTATTCTCTCAAATGTCTTTCAGAATACCATTTTTAAATAACAAGTTATGCTTTATTTTTAAATGTTATGCAAATTTGATCAAATTAATTAAATCTTACACTATTAAATGAGTTCTGCCTTTGCAGAAGAGTAACCTGAGTATCGGCAACCACTTTGAAGGCAATAAGATTCACTATGAAGCCCATTATGGTTTGACTATTACCTTCTTTTGAAGTCCTGTAAGGTCTCCAATGTTTAGGTTTTATTGGTTTTGTTCTATACTGTTTTGTTCAATTATGTTATACCTGATGATACAGGCAACTCTTTTTAAGATAGCAAGAGGCATAATGGGGGGCTGGGGATTTAGCTCAGCGGCATAAGCGCCTGCCTTGCAAGCAGGCAGTCATGAGTTCGATCCCTGGTACCGAAAAAAGACCAGAAAAAAAAAAAAAAAGAGGCATAATGATAACCACTGTTGATCACCTGATACTCTGTTTTTACATCAAGTACTATGTCCTTCCTTCTGCTCTGACTCCGTTTTGTCACATTCTCTTTAAAAAAAAAAAAGTAATAAGAACTGTGGGAGTAATAAAATTCAAAATGTGTAATTGTTATTGTAAAAAAGGGGAAAAGAAAGTGATCTAAAGGATATAACTGCATGTATATTTAAGTGTGTAAGATAAAAAACCATATGACTAAGTTTTTTGAATCACTGAACAGAACTGTTTGCAATCTCACTGTTTGAATGTCCACTTTATATGCTTTAATCTTGCATTTTGAGCAACTCTAAGATGACAGTATGTAATCTATTAACTAGTGTTTTCTTACTGTATATTTTTTTCTTGAAATTCTGTATTACTTGTACCCTTTTACTGTTTTGTTTTCTCTTAAAAAAAAAGTATAGTTTATCACACTGCCAGTCTGATTAGCACACATGTACTGAATTGCAATTATGTTTTATAAATGGAGCCTTATAAATTCTGAGTTTTTTGCACTTGAGGTAAAGCCTGGCAATTTTTTTTTCTTTTTGTATTGGGTATCGAACTCACCACCTCATGCTTGTTGGGCAAGTACTGTGCTGCTGAGCTATTATCCCTGGCCCCAAGTCTGGCAACCTTGAACCATTTGTTTTAAAATTCTCTTTCATTGGTAGATACAGATACAGATAGATTCTTCTTGAATCCATATCAGAGTTGTGTATAAGTGAAATCTGAATAAATTACTATTATAATAATTATTACTTTAGATTGAAAGATCTTTCACCTGTACATCTGTCTCTTTCCCTGCAGTAACTCGCGTATTTGACTTATTTTGATGAAATTGGTTTCTTGCCTTAGTTTTAGTTCATGAATTTTTTCTCCCATTCAAACACAATAGAAGAACATTTATTAGTAAGCATATTTATATAACTTTAAGAAGTAATCAGGTTTTAATGATATTTGAAAAGCCATATAAAGAATTTTATAAATGCAATTTATTGAGTCCTTACTATGTACAACTTACTGTACTGGGTGCTTCTCATTTATTATCATTAACCCTGATGCTATACAACCTTACAGAATTACATTCTTAGACCCATTTTACAGATAAGGAACTAGAGACTTAAAAAGTACATCAAGATTCTAAAGAAATTTCACTAAAAACCCTGCTTTTAATGTTCAAAGACCTGGCAAACATCAATTTTGTAAAATGAAAATACTTTTTTGACTCATATATAGTTACCTCAGTACAAATCCCTCTGTACTTCAAAATTGCCTATTGCCCAGGTGGTGGCAGTATGCCTCAAAGAGCTAGTCTGCCGGGAGGGTTTCCCAGCCATGCTAACTGTTTTGTGTCTCTGTCCCACATATGTGACCTATCCACTTCTCCACTGGCCCTTTTCCTATTACAGTGGTGCATCCTGTTATTCTTGTCTTCTGAGAGGGTCACACTGCCTTCAGCCAGTTTCACTGTGAAGTGTTTACCAGACTCTTCTAGAAAACTCAGTCCTATCCAATAAGAAAATGATTTTTTATTTATTATTTGTAACCATTATTAAATTTTATTTGTTAGAAACACCTAAACTCTTTCAGGATGTACTAGGAAATACTTGTCTGAATTAGAAGGTGTACTTTATATTTCTATGTATTAATGGATACATTAAATTTATAATTAAGGGAGTAATGAAAAGCTTTTAAAAGAATTTCAAAATGAAAAGAGGACTTAGTAGGAAATAGTACAAAGTTATATAATTCAGAAGAACTGTATATCAGAATAACTGTATATAGCAGAATAACTTGTTAAACCTTTGGTCAAAAATCGGTTGGGCTGGGGATTTAGCTCAGCAGCATAAGCACCTGCCCTGCAAGTAGGGGGTCGTGAGTTCGATCCCCGGTACCAGAAAAAAAAAAGAAAAAAAATTGTTTGGCATATTCTTTTCATGTCTTTGTAAGGCTGCTGCCTTTCTAAAGGTTTCAGATTAAGTGCTGGTCTTCTCACTAGACTTCCCAACCCTATCACTATTTTTCCCTCAGCAATTACTTGTTTACTGGCTTATTGTCTTTTTTTCCACTAGAATTTAAGATTGGTTATCTCAATAAGTGGAACATTGTTTTAGATAATTCACCTCAAGATAGCACACTGTTCATTACCAATGAAACTGTTCTTGTTTGAAAAGTCATGAAATAACTTAGATCCTGGATATTTGCAAAACTCATATTAAAGTACAAACTCTTGTAAGATATTTTGAAAGGGCTCAGAAATATCCCAGAGGAAAAAAGTCCGAAATTCAATTAGATGTTAGGTGAAATCTTTAAATAGGTTATCTTGTTAATGAAAGAAGTCTAGTTACTTTCCAAGTATGTAAAATTACTTAGAGGAAAATAGTGATTCACCAGCCTCATTGATAAGATAAAAGGAATTAGTCCTAGACTGTAGGTGCTAAGATTTAAGATAAGATAAGAGCAAGCAGGACTAAAGATCTAAATAGAGATCTTTGAAAATGGGATAGGACTGTATGTGTAGATTAGATGTGCATGAAGGTATTTTCTAGCCTTTGATTCCCAGTGCAGATTGCAGGGGAACTACTTGAATTAGAAAGCAGGTGCCTTTTGGTAATGAGTCCTTGTTGCCCAAGTCTCTTTCTATATATTTTAATGCAAATTCCATGGGGTTTTTTTAAGCTCAATTATTACATAATTTCATAATATTGCAAGTTGGGCGTCTGCTTTTTTCAACACTGAAACTATTTACAGTGCTTCATCTCCAGAATGCACTGTTCTGTACTGTATTATTTTCCCTTTTTTGTCTGTTTTTTTTTTATTTTAAAGGGGTTAAAATTAAACACAACAAAACAGAACAAAATAGGACATAAGAAAGCAATGTAAGAGATACAAATTTCAAAGCTAGACGACCTGAGATCTTCACTGTCTGTCTATATTGCCTCATATTTTCTTCCATATAGTTGTCCATGTCTTCACATACAGAGAATTCATACAAAACAACACAGTGTAAAACTGATCCGAACAGAATGAGGAAGGCATTACCAGACAACAGGGAAGACACCAATGGCTGTTGTAGAG